GAAAGATGGTCTGTTAAGGGAGATGGGATCCTTGGGCTGGGTGTGGCCTGAGGGATTTTGTGCTTGAAAAGTCGACCCAGGACAGGAAGTGTGGAACTCATGGGGGCAGGTGGAACCTGGGGGAGTGGTAGAGCATGGACACAAGAAAGAGATTTTTGAAGCAAATAAGGGAGAGTAAGTAATCAGAGGAAGGTTTAATCAGTAATGGGCTGCCTAATCAGAGACATTGTGAGGAAGAGCCCTACCATGGGTCAGTGTCCTCTCTAACACTTGAATAACTGGCATTGCTTTGGAAATGAGGCACAATGGAAAAGGGAAAATCATGGGGCACCCATCCTTCCTAGAGTGGAGAGCCTAGAATGGATATCTTGGAAGTTCTGATTACATGAAGGATACAGAAAAAAAGAGATCAGATAATTATAAGGGTCATGAATCAGAGAATGAAGTTCCAGAGTAGACCGAAAGAAAGTATGGATAATGAAGAGTGTGAGAGAAATCTTTTTGAAAAGGGGTATAAGAGGGCAACTAGGTGGTGCAGTGGATAGAGCACTGGCCCTGGAATCAGGAGGACCTGAGTTCAAATCCGGTCTCAGACCAGACACTTGATACTTAGTATCTGTGTGACCCTAGGCAAGTCACTGAACCCAATTGCTTCACCAAAAAAAAAAAAAAGAAGAAGAAAAGGGGTATAAAAAATAAGCATTTTAAAAAATTATAAATAGGATTAGTTGAACAGAAGGAAAGGGGAATTGACTAGACTGAGAGGGGAGAAAGGGTATAAAGAATTACCAGCTAAAAGCAAGAGGGGACAAGGAACTAATAAGCAAAACCCTAAAAGGAAAGGAATAACAAAAGAGGGAACAGGAGTGAGGGGAAAAGAGCCAGTGGAAACAGCCACCTTAAAAAAAGATTAAAGTAATTAAAGGAACAAAGTACTATGTTTACAGCAGTAGAGGGGGGGCAAATCATAACTTTAAAATTATTAAAATTATTAAAAATATTAGAGGCAGATAGAGGAAAATATAAGCCTAATTTCCTCAACTTTAAATTTGAATGGGCTAAATAGTACAATAAAATGAAAAGCAGTTACAGATTGGATAAGAACCCAACAATTTATTGCTTACAAGAAACATATTTTTTAAATAGTGTATATGTATGTATGTATAAATGTATGTATGTATACAAAATAAAATGAGGAGATGGGAAAACATTTACTATGTATCAAGTAAATGCAAAAAAAAGCAAGAATTGAAATCTTACTATCTGACAAAGCAAAAACAAACATTTAAAAAAATAAAAAGGGGTAAATAAGGAAATTACATCATATTGAAAGGAACCATAGAAAACAAACCAATATCAGGAATAAACGTATATGCTACAAATGCTTTAGCCTTCAAATTCATAAAAGAAACATCATCTGACCTACAAGAAGACATAGACAGTAACACAATAGTAATAGGAGACTTCAATATCTCTTTCTCAGTCTTGGTTTACTCTAACAGAGAGATAAGCAAAAGGAAAAATGTGGAACTGAGCAAATCACTGAAGAAACTACAGTTAAAAGACTTATGGCATCTTCCAAATGGGACAGCAAAAGAATATATGTATTTCTCAGCATTGCATGAAACTTTTACAAAAACTGACCATGTACTAGGTTACAAATATATTGTAAACAAATGTAAAAAGTCAGAAATAGTCCTTTACAAACCATAACACAATAAAAATAGTAGTTGGTTCAGGAACCACAAACAAAAGACACAGACCCAAATGAAGACCCAAAAGAAATCCTAAATAATGAGTAGGTCAAAGAATAAATCATAGAAATAATAAATAACTATGTAAAAGAAAATAACAATGATGGGACAACACACCAAAATTTCTGGGATACAGCTAAAGTAGTCTTTAGAGGCAAAATTATATATCTACTACTAACATATATAAACAAAATTTAAAAAATAGATTTATTAATTGAATATGTATTTTTAAAAATTAAAAAGTCAACAAATACACAAACCTAAAAGAAGTACAAAGGAAGAGATATTAAAAATTAAAGGGGAAACAGGTAAATTAGAACAAAAAAGCCTTGAAATTGATTGATAAAATTAAAAGCTGGTTCTTTAAAAAAACTAATAAAATTGATAAGCTTTTATTAAACTGATTAAAAAGAAGAGAACAGAAAATCAGACCAGTAAAATAGCAAGTGAGGAAGATAAAATCACAGCAAAACCATAAGAAATAAAAAAGTAAACACAACACATTGTGTACAGTTATATGCAAAGAAAACTAAGAACACAAAAGAAATAAATGAATACCTTCAAACATATAAAATACCCAAAATATCAGAAGACCAGGAGAGATCTTACATAACCCAATCTCAGAAAATCAAATACATCTAGCTACAAAAAAACTATCAAAGGAAAAAACTACAGGTCCTGATAGATTTACAGGAGAATTCCATCAAACTTTTAAAGAACAGTTATTGCCTATACTTCACAAATTATTCTCAAAAATTGAGAAAGTAACCTACCAGAATTCTTTTATGAGACAAACATAGTCCTACTACCTAAATCTGAGAAAGATAAAATACAGAAAGAAAACTATAGGCCAATATCATTAATGAATATTGACTCAAAATTTTTATAACAATATCCTGTCAAACAGACTACAGTGATTTATCTAAGAAATTATTCATTATAACCAAGTGGGATTTATACCAGGAACTCAAGGATGGCTCAATATTAGGAATACAATCAATATAACTAATCATATTAAAAACCAAAACATCCAAAACCACTTGATCATCTCAATAGACGCAGAAAAAGACTCCAACACAGTACAACACGTAGGTTCTTAAAAAAAAATCCTACAAAGGATTTGTAATAATTACAATAATTTACATAAAAGGACCTTTGTTAAAAAGAGTATCCAGGTGATAAGGCTGTAAAGGCTCATAGGCTGTAAAGAAGTCAAGCTTGAGGAAAGATTATTAGGTTTGGCAATTAAGAGACCATTGGTAACTTTGGAGTAAGCAGTTTCAAGTGAATGATGAATTAAAAAACAAGACTACAGAAGCTTCAGATACTAGTGAAAGGAGAAAAAGAAGAGGCACCTAGTGTAGATGGCTTTCTCAAGAAGTTTAAATGAGAAGGGGAGAAAAGGTATAGGACAATAACTAAGAGTAATGATCAGATCCAGTGAAGGCTTTTTAAGGTTGAGGAGAGACATGGGCATGTTTGTAGGAAGCAAGGAAGAAACTAGTAGATAGGGAGAGACAGATTAAAGAGTAGGGGTAATAAAAAGAAAAATCTTCTGGAGAAGATAGGAGGAAATGTGGGATGAGATCAAGGATGAGATTTGCCTTGGCAAGAAAAAGGTCAACCTCTTCAGCAGAGACAGGGACAATAGAGGAGGTAATGGGAAATATGTCTGTATAGCGCAAGATGAAAAGGAATAGAGAAGAGTGAGCTCTTGATGAATGATCTCAATTTTTTTTTGGTGAAGTATGAAGCAAAGTTCTCAGCTGAGAGGAGAAAATGAGGGGTAAGGACCAGGGATCCTCACACTGACTTTAGGGTCACACTCAAACCTGATTCTTTTGAGATTCATAGACATAATGTATAACCAGAAGAACATTTGTATTATTAAGTAATTACATTAATAAGTTCAAATAATCAGCATTATGTTTATTGGGTTTGTTGATATACACATCATTAGTCTGTGGAAACCAGTTCAAGAATAGTAGACAAGGTAACCTGCTCAATTCAGAGGTTATTGTGTATATCATCAATTCTCAACCATCTTGGATCCCTTATCTGTAAATTTACAATAATAAGAAAAGAGGAAGTGCTAATGTGTTGTAGAACTATTGTTCCCTGGACTATTCCACACCATGTTCTACTTTCACTATCAACTCTACCTCCTCCCCACTGATAACTTGGGCTCTGCCCCTGGGTCCCTCAGCTCTGATAGGTAAGCATTTGCTTTATCTTGCCAGGTTCCCAGCTTCCTTGTCACTTCCTGTCTAGCTCCACAGCACACCAATTGGTGGGTATCCTACTTCTTCCTCCTTCCAGTTCCCTTTAGGTTTTGTCTTCCCTCATAGAATATAAATTCCTTGATGGCAGAGACTATAATGCATAGCTTGTATCTATCCCACTTAGCATAATACCTGGAATATAGGGAGCTCTCAATAAATGCTTTCATCTATCCAACTATCAATGAACTATTATAGCTAAATCTCTGGTCACCACTGATCATCCTGTCTCAACTGAATATCATTGTTCTTAGCGGAGACAACCAAACAAAATATCCTTAATGTTTAGCCTATCTTGCCTATGGATCACCCTGTCTTTATCCTTCACCCAGTTTTTGAAATATAACCTCTTTCATAAAGTAGAACTGCCTCTAGTTCTCATTTCCTATAATCATTTTTATTTGAACATGGCCTCCTTTAACAACAATTCAATTTTCTCTCTTTACGGTTTCATTTCTTCAAGGGTTCAACCCAGTCTATTTTTTGCTTTGTAGAAACTAATCATTTTAATAGTATACAGTTATTGGTTTACACAGTATAATTTGCTGTCCCAGGATTTTAAAATTCAAGACTGCAGATAAAGAATTAAAATACAGTACATATTTAATTCTCATTTTCAAATAGATCAGACAAAACAGAAGTCAGATAGATGAGATGATTTATTTTGCTGGATAATATTTAGAACTGAATGTTCTTTCTCTACAATGTCACTAAAAAAGACATATTTTATCAGAAGCATTTACTTTTCAATGATACACATTGGAAGAAATAAACGGTACATTCATTTCCATGAGGGCCATACAGCTTACCAAAGTTACTTCTAAGGAGATGCTTGCCTTTTTTTTCCCCTCATTGAAGTCAGTCTGCTCAGAACAATGACCCCACTTCCTTTTGGCCAACTCTACTTTACAAATGTGAGTTCCCCAAGTGCGCACGCACACACACACACACTCTTCACATACTGTACCTTGTTCAGCGTTTCTTTCTCTTCAATGCAGGAGGCAGTTTTTTTCTGCTCTTTGTTTACTTCTGAAACCAGTCGCATGATGGTCTGTCTGCTGGCTTTTGCCTCCATCTCATGGACATTTATAGTCTCTTCAAGAGTAACAATCTGTTCTTGCTTAAGTGTGTTTTCTTTATGCAACTCCCTAACCTGAAGGGAATAATAAATAAAAATGAACAGCTTTTTATGCTGATTTTTATGAGCGAGTGCTGATCTCTACACAATTCAGTGGGCTAACTGATCCAAGTAACAAAAAGGACAAATGCTACATTGGCCTGAAATATCCTTTCAAAAGCAACCTCTAAATTCTGCAAATATAAGTCTACTAAGCAGTCAAGTTAGTATTTTTTTTTGGGTGAGGCAATTGGGTTTAAGTGACTTGCCCAGGGTCACACAGCTAGTGTCAAGTGTCTGGTCTGACACCAGATTTGAACTCAAGTCCTCCTGACTCCAGGGCCAGTGTTCTATCCACTGCTCCACCTAGCTGCCCCCCAAGTTAGTATTAATCCAAGAGTATCCTTAAGGAAACAATGGCAGAACTGTGACATTTTCCAAATTATAAAATAAAGCATATACTTATCAAGTCTCTGGCAGCAGTATTACAGGTTTAGAAATTATCTTAATGCAATGTGGTAAGAAGAGATGACAGCAGTAGGAATGAATGTCAAGTATTTGTAAGAAGACTTTTAATTGGGAATTGCATGCATCACAGGACTGCATGCAATTATCATATAATAGTAGTAGTAGTAGTAGTGGTCGTGGTGGTAGTAGTAGTAGTAGTAGTAGTAGTAGTAGTAGTAGTAGTAGTAGTAGACACTAACATTTATATAGCACTTTATGTTTTGCAAAGTTTTTTACGAATATTATCTCACTTTATCCTTACAATAACCCTGTTTTACAGTAGAGAAAACTGAGATAGAGGTTAAGTAACTTGCCCAGGGTCACATAGCTAATAAGCATCTGAGGTCATAGTTGAACTCAGGACTTCCTGACTCCAAGTTTACAGCCCTGTACACTTTGCTACCATGTCAATCTCATCCATGTGAAATGTACTTTGTTAACTTATTTCAGTAAGAAGTACTTTTGAAAAATCTCTTTTTTTTTCAAAAAAACCTCGTTTTATTTATTAATTCAAGGGTTTTTTCTTTTTTTCTGTTCAATTATGTTAATCTCTTCTTTAATTTTCAGAATTTCTATTGAGGACCAATGACAAAGAATGCTCTTAACCTCCAACCTCTTAACGAAAAAGTGATTGACTCAAGATGCAGAATAAGAGATACATTTTTCATATGGCCAATGCAGGAATTTGTTTTGCTTGACTATGGTTCAAAGCACTGGGTTTTTAAGACTCAGGACCTTGAAGTTATAATAAATAAGCTTAACCTATGGAGAAAATGAGACCTCCCTTCTTTGTGGAAGTAATGGAGTATAGGTGTCGAACTAGCAGGTCCTGGTTAATGGGCCAGTGGAAGATTCTACTTGGGACAGATAGAGTGCCTAGATTCCTGATAGAGACCAAGGGCAAGAAAGGTTGAAAGAGACAAGATGCCATTTCTCCAAGGCCCAGTGAACATTAGAGTCTCTTACCAGGGGATGTTGTATGTAGTAAGTTATTTTAAGTTTTCTAAATAAATCCTAAAGGAGGGGTAGGTAGGTGGTGCAGTGGATAGAGCTCTGGCCTTGGAGTCAGGAGGACCTGAGTTCAAATCCAGCCTCAGACACTTGACACTTACCTCAATTGCCTCACCAAAAAGTCCAAAAAAAAAAAATCCTGAAGGACCATGTGTATTATTTATCTGAAGTAAATAATCTTTCATTCTAATTATAGTAATCATGTTTTGCTTAACACCTGCAACATGATGTTAATTTTTTTATATAAAAAGCTGACTTTAAGCAATCTATACTCCTACTTTTATAAAGATCCAAAGTGAAATGCTAATGTCATTGAGATCAACTTTTTCCTTTGGTTTTGTTTCTAACTGGACAGGTAGATAGGCAATGTAACTTTAAAACACGTGGATAGTCAAATACATACATACACATATGCATGTATGTATACATATGCTGTATGTGTGTATATAGATAGATTGTACATATCTATTCATTTACATGTTATCTCTTGCACTAGAATGTAAGTTCCTTGAGGACAAGGAATATTGTTATTTTTTCTTATTTGTGTCAAGAGTACTTAGCACAGTGCCTGGCACAATGGCTGTTGTTGCTGATGCAATTGTTGTTTGTCCTTCAATGCCATGACTTGCAAGTGAATTGGATTTAAGTAAGGGAGCAAAGTCACCAGCCTCACTTTCTCCTCCTAAGTTATCTGGGTCCAGTGGCAAGATATAGATCAGGACACCTGGAGATGGCCCTAGACCCGCAGGGTCTTCCCCTCCCTGACTGATTTCTTTTTTTCTTTGACTAGGTAAAAGAGGCCATTCTTTGTCTCATTTCTCACCTAGCCTTAATCAATGAATGGACTTGCCTCAGTCAAACTGAGACCTGGGAAAGACCTTAGCTTAAAAAGGCCAAGGTCTCCCACTGCATCTGGAGTCTCACATAATAAGCACTTAATAAAAGCACACTGTTTGATGTATTGTTGATTTAATTTGCCAAACTACAGATATATTTAAAAACAATTAAGCAGTCAGCATAATCTCACTAAGGTCAATTGAGCCAGAAAAGGCCTTCAAAATCATATTGATCAAAATCATAACTCCCTCATTTAACATAGGAGGGAAATGGGGCCCAAAGATATAAAGTGACTTAATCAAGGTCATTCAGCTGTTAGTGACAGATCTGATTTGAGTCCAATTTCCTTCCCACATAATTTTTTTACCATTTCTACAGAAAGTAAATTTTGTTAAATTTGCAACAAACACCTTTGAAATGAAATGCTCCTGAGATTCCTCTTCATTCTTCATATCCATTTCTAAGCAGCCAGAAAGTTGGATTAGAAATTCCTCAAGTTTCCTGCTGTTCTTAGCGGCTTGGTTCTTGCTTTCTTCATTTTCTTTTAAACACTTTCTAACCAGCAAACAACAAATACATCAAGATTAATAATACTGGAATGCAATGTTTCACAAGCAAAATTGAGAATTGTAAACACTTTTGTACATGCCAGCTTACTGTTCTCATAGAGGCTTCAACAAGAATGCTCTTTACTAAAAAAAAGAAAAAGTTGTTAGCTAGGGTTAAGGACCAGTCTTTTTTTTTTAAGCTAGTAAATTTCATGTCTTGACTAGAAGCTACAACCCAATGTGAAGCCGGGAAGAACAAAAATAATTAAAGATGTGCATAGTCTCCTTCCTTGCCTTGTTATAAAACGTTTCTCACACTTACCTTCCCCTATCACTAATTTCTTTCAGTCATGAGCAGGCACAAAATCAGTAGTGAATTCGAGTTCAATGATATGCACAGTAGATTTAAAATATATTTAAAATAAAATGCCCATTATTAAGCAGTTATAACATCATAGGCCTTAAAATAATGCATGTTTTCTCAACTTAGCAGCCTAGAATTTGCCTCTGTCTTTCTGCGAGAGGAAGGCTAGAGGAAGAAGTATAAAAGTCTCCTAAAGCCTCCCTTTAAAGAGGGTCAAGAAGTTCAGCCAACTCTTCATTTTCCACCAGTCACCTTGCTTGGCTTCACTCTGCCATCATCAGGTCCCCGCCTCATAGCCTCTGTCCTCCACCTTCTCAGCTTTCCTTAGTGTGCAGACTTCCACCATTACATTGTAAACTCCTTGAGGGCAGGGACTTTCTCTTTCTTAATTATACCTCCAGAATTTAGCATGCTTGGCACATTGTAAATACTTAACAAATGTTTATTTTACTATTGAATTGCTAATCTAACATCTTCATTTTACAAATAAGAAAGCCAAAGTCCCAACAGATAAAGTGACTTGCCCATGATTACATAGAACTAAGATGAGAACCAAGATATTCCATGTCCTCTTAAGATAGTTTAAGATAAATTATTTTAAATTTTTCAATATTGTCTGCTGATTTTTTTCACTTTTTGTTTTCATTGGAATAGCAATAGATATTTCCAGGAGCCAAGGGGAAGAGCTTTTTTGTATAGGAAGACAGAGATATTTTGCACTGGTAGGAGTAAAATATAAAATTAAGACCTTTGTAGATGAAATAAAGAGCAACTAAGATGGCACAGTAGGTAGAGTGCCCAGAGTTAGGAAGACTCATGTTCACCAGGTCAAATTTAGCCTCAGACACTTACTAGCTATGTGACCCTGGGTAAGTCACTTAACCCTATTTACCTCAGTTCCTCATCTGTAAGAAATGAGCTGGAGAAGGGAATGGCAAACCCCTCCAGAATCTTTGTCAAGAAAACCCTAAATGAAGTCACAAAGAGTTGGACATGACTGAAACTACTGAACAACAATAAGCTGAAAGAAGTATTTAGTAAAGGTGGAAGTGTAGGACTAAAGCATGGAGAACATTTAATTTTTGTTCTTGCCCAACTTCATTTACATTCATGTACAAGAACACCATGAGTACAGCAGACTTCCAAGTACCTTCAGCCTCCATCTAATTTTGTGGATTGTTGTATTTGGGGGAAGGAGGAGTTAGGAAGCAGGGAAGCATAGTCCCTGATTTGGGTTGTAGAGAACTGGATCACTACAAGGTATTTAAAGGAAGTTGCAATGAATTTCTATCCCTTATCTGGGACTATAGACTTTGAATCGGACCTAAACATAGGTACACACATACACACACACACACACACACACAACTTTAGCCTGGTACTTGTTGGCTGACTTCTGTTGGCTGCCCTTAGGTAAGGGCAATGGTTCATGACTTCAGCTCCGGGCTAAAGAGCTATTAGCTTGTCTTTGTCAGGGAGAGACTTTTCTAGTCACTACCCTTTAAACCACGGGTGCCAAGAACCTAAGAGATGGCCCTGAGGAACTGAATAATAATCATAATCCCAATATGTAGCACTTTAAGGTTAGCAAAGTGCTTTACAACAAATCTGCTCTTCCCAACAGCCCTGAGAAATAGCACAGAAGATGGTAGCAGAGGAAAGATTAATAACTATGAGACCAGAGGAGATGTCTAGCTGAATGGAGGAGACTCAATAGCTGTCAGATAGTAGAAGAAAGTATGATCACCAGAGGACATCAGCATCACCTTGAAGCATCAGATAGGGTAGTTATCCTAAACAATTCCATAAGTGTGCACCTTCCATGTATGTATATGTTCCCTGAACAGACAAGTTCTTAACATGTGTCCCTTCATGTAGGTTGTGTGCCTGGATGTATGCCCTCAATGTGTGTTACTTATTCATTTGTATTCTATGTGTGTGCCTGTGTCTGTTCTCCTCCACTAGTAGCATCATAGCCCACGAAGAACATAACGTCACATTTGAGTAAGGTCATTCCTCAAAGCCCTTCTAAATATAAAAGGATCAGGAATGGAGCTGAGGAGATAGACAATTACCTCACCTACTGTGCTTGGCATTGTCTCTGTGCCTTCCCCACCCTCTCATTTCCATAAGAGAATGGAAAAGATTTAGGGTTTGAAAACTGGGAAACTCCTGAGCTATTTGGTAGTTTGAGAACAAATAACTAATCTCTGATTTACAGCCTTGCATTCACAATTTAAATGGAAAACTCATCAGTAAGTAGGGTGAGATCTCTGCCAGAGGAACTCAAGCCTCTGGATCAGGTTCTAAACCAAATGTTCTTTATCTTTTTTGTGTCATGCCCTTCTTGGGCAGTCTGGTGGGGCCTATGGACCCCTTCTCAGAATAATGTTCTTAAATGAATAAAATAAGGCACATAGGATTTCAAAGGAAAACAGTGATATTGAAATAGGGTGGGGGATTTTTTTGTCTTTTTGAATTTAAGTTCAAAATTAAAAAAAAAAGAAATAGTTATCAAAATACTTTTTAATATAAGCTATGGCTATGCCACTCTGGGCAAGTCACTTAAATTCATAGCAATAGAGACAGTCTCTAAGAGTCTAAGTTTCAGGACAGTTACAGATCTATGTTCGGAGAAGAAATTTTCCTATAGAAACAAAATCATACTTCTTCCCCATAAAATACATGGAATGCAAGGTTTTAAAACAAGAACCAAAGGGGAAAATGTTTTAACTGGTAGGAAGTCTTAACCACTTACAGGTGCAGAAACCTACAATTTTTAATCTTGCTGGGGCCTAGTCCACACAATTGCCCCTTATTCTGGCTAAATACCATGGAGGTAACCTACTCTCCCTTTTAGCACCCTATGTGTATCATCTTTCCCAACCATAATGCAAGCTCTTTAACTGTAAAGATTGCCTTTCTTGCTTGTATCAGTGCTTAGCTGAATACCTGGCACCCAGTAAGTGCATAATAAATGCTTTATCATTGAATCAATCAACAAGTATTTATAAAACACTTGCTATGTGCCAGGCACTCTGCTAGACGCTAGTGACACAGAAAAGGGAAAACACAGTCCCTTCCCTCAAGGAGCTCACGTTATAATGGGAGAGACCACAAGCAACAACTAAGTGTGTGTACAAGAGCTATAGAAGCATAAATGGAAGTATAAATGTCAGAGTGACAGGATCAGGAAAGGCCTCGTATAGAAAGTGGTATTGGGGGCAGCTAGATGGCACAGTGAATAGAGCTCTGGCCTTGGAGTCAGGAGAGCCTGAGTTCAAATCCAGCCTCAGACACTTAACACTTACTAGCTGTGTGACCCTGGGTAAGAAGTCACTTAACCTCTAACGCCTCACCAAAAAAAAAAGAAAAAAAAAAAAAAAAAAAGGTGGGATTGGAGCTGAGTCTTTAAAGAAACCAAGGAAGCCAGAAGGTGGGGAGGCGAGGAGGGAGAGTATTCTGGGCATGGGGCCAATGAAAAGCCTATCTCAATATTCCCATGTTTCAAGAAGAAAAGTCATCTTATTTCACTTCCTCACTGAAAGAAATGTTTTCTAATCGTTGCAAAAAGAACAATCAAGTTTAATCCCTGAAAATGAGAGTAGCCAGATCAAAGTCCCAATCAACTACAAGTCTTCAAGAAGCATAAAGATGGGCTAGTCAAACAAAAATATTCAAGTTCACGTAAGCTTGTGCTCCAATACAGAGTTTTCATTTCAGAATTTCAGATGAGCTTTCTGAAATATCAGTGGCCATCTCTAATACTCTAAAAAGCCATTAAGAGGCACTTTAATGGCAAAATGGACTCATTACAGTAATTGGTACCACTTTTTACAGACAGTACATGGTAATCATGATTACTGCTTTCCTTCCTTACCATGTTTATTTTTTTTTCCTGCAAAGTTTTTCACTGTGCTCCACGTGAAATAAACCATATAATTACAAGTCCTCAAAAGCATATCATATTTCTACTTAGAAGAAATGTAGAACAATAAAAGATTAGTTTTGCTGTGACTCATTTAGCTGTTCCTCTTTTGAACCTATAAGAACTGTATTCATTCTTTGAGATTCAAGATAGGCCCCCAACAGACTCTATTTTCCCTCTCAGCTACTCCACCAGAAAAATGCCTAAGAATTTATGTAGGGTAGGTTAAAAGCCTGGAAAGAGATGAGGCCAACTATGTATTCTTTTTTTTTTTTAGGCAATTGGGGTTAAGTGACTTGCCCAGGGTCACATAGCTAGTAAGTGTCAAGTGTTTGGTCTGAGACCAAATTTGACCTCAGGTCCTCCTGACTTCAGGGCCGGTGCTCTATCCACTGTACCGCCTAGCTGCCCTAAAAGGTTCTACTTCCTTTTTTTTTTTCGGCTAGGCAATGCGGTTAAGTGACTTGTCCAGGGTCACACAGCTAGTAAGTGTTATGTGTCTGAGGCCGCATTTGAACTCGGGTCCTCCTGAATCCAGGGCGGTACTCTATCCACTGCGCCACCTAGCTGCCCTCATCTATGTATTCTTAATAAAAGCAGGAATCTGAAACAAAGCTGATTGAGATGGAGAGCCATCTCTAAAGTAATTTCTCCTAGAAGGTTTAATTCTTTACCTTTTCCCCTCACACTCACTTGCATGGGAAACCATCTAAATGGCCAGCCTCAACCCTTTCCAGGCTTTGATCCCCTCGCTATACTTGTTATCTTATGGCCTCAATCTTACTTTTTACAAACTCTGTTTCTCCAGATGTTTGGTTGATTTACTAAAAATAATAGTGGCTAGCACTTACATAGCACTTTGGGTTTTTAAAGTGCTTTACCCATACTAATCTCATTTCAACCTCACAACCTTAGAGACAGGTGCTATCACTATCCCCATTTTACATATGAGGAAACTGAGAAAGAGAGAGGCTAAGTGACTTGCCCAATGAGACCAAATTTAAACTTCTGTCTTCCTAACTCCAAGTCCAGGTCTCTATCCACTTCACCACCTACGGGCGTCAAAAAGTCTTTACTGTGATTTGGGGGGAAGGGTGTTTTTTAAAGGTTTAAATGTTTCAATCCTTATTTAGGGCAATCACAAATCTAGTTCCAGATCAGTTACTAGCTTTTCCAGAATTCACTGGGGTTGAATGAACCCTGCTTACAAATAGGTTCAAAACTATGAGTGCACCACAGTGTTAATATTATAAAAATGGTAGCTATAACTGACAATTATTCTATACTTTCAATGCTTAGAAGGCATGTAGGACAAGAATTACTGTCCCTATAAATCAACCAACAAACATTTATTAAGTGCCTACATGTGCCACATCCTCTTAGGCACTAGAATTAAAAGACATATTTTATAGGTAAGGAAATTAAGACTGCCAGAGGAATAGAGCCATAGGGAGACTCTTATCTTAATTCTCCTTACTCTAAATCCATTCTTCCTTCTGTTATACAGGGATGACTTAAGAAATATACCAGAGTACTCTGGGTCATGACACATCTCTCTGAAAGGGTTTATAAATGAATGTTGTCTTCTACCCTCATCTTTGACTCAACAATTTAAATTATCGCTCCAAGCAGAAGCTGCAAAATGTGAGTCTGATATTTAATTCCATTTTCATACATTCTGAATGAATACTGAAGAATATTGAATTTGTTGAGGTTATTGTTGGCATATAGGAAGAAAGGACTTGTAAAATTTTTATGGGATTATAAAAACATTTAAGATCAAAAGACTTTTGAAAATTGAATTGCAAGGCCACAAAAAGGTGAGATGTCTATCACATTGCTTTTGTCCCCTCAGACTATAGTCTGGTGGCTTAATATCAAATGACGTGATAGTTTATTTTCACTTGCTTACTTTAATTTAGCTTCCAAGTCCATGATTTTCTTCTTCAATTCCTGATTCTCCTGGGTTGCAGCCTTAGCTGTTATTTCTGTTCTCATTTTGAATGTGGTTAGTGCTGCAGATTCTTTCTCTATCTCCTGAACCCTGTCTCGCAATGACATGAGAAGAGAGGACTGTCTTGCATTGTTTTCTTTATAACTCTCCATTTCAGCCTTCAACTCTTGGCATGAGACTTCTTTAGAAAACATCTTAGACCTGAGATCCAGAAGCTAACCAAGAAACAAAGAAGTAAAAAAGAAGAAACTGAGGAACTTAGCCAACTGAATTTAAGAAACAAATATTACAGTATCATCATTTTACCTAAATTTACATTATTCTCTCCTATTGTTGATTATCCTTTTGCACCGAATCATCTTCTATATCTGAATATGAAATACCAAAGAGAAAAATGATATCTAAACAATGTTATTTATTCAGGCCTTCCTAAAAGCACTTAAGCAACTTCTTGAGTTTATTTTATTCTCTTTCAAAATACATCTGTGGTACATTTTGCAATTGTGTACCCATTTTCAAAATCTGTGTTGCATTGTTAATATTGCTACATACTGCTTTTTAAAATGAAATGAGAAACAAATAATTCATGTTGTTTGTGATTTTCTAGGTATAAATATCTACACACACACAATCAAATATTCATCAAAACTGTCTCTTTGTTTACTTTATAGTAAAAAAAAAAAGTGTAAACGAAAAAGAGAAAAATAACACAGGCTTTAAAAGGACAACCAGAATCAAAGGAAAATCTCTACAAAGTGTATACTAAGAACAAATTTTACAGTACAATGAAAATCTAAGACAGTGGGATTCTGAACACAGTGTCCTAGTGAAGCCATGATCCCAGTAAACAATATACAAAGGGCTTTCTGAACCACCCTTCTTATATATCTCTTTTCAATCACCAGGGCTACAACTTCAGGTACAGTTAATTTAATCACTGGCAGGCTTGCAATCACAGTGAGTTAATCCAGATCATTCCTATGAACTCAAAGGCAGCTAGGTGATAAAAATGGATAGTGTTGGGCCTGGAGTGAAAATGACCAAGTTCAAATCTGGCCTCAGATCCTTACTAGCTGTTTGACCCTGGCTGGGCAATCACTGGAGAAGGAATGGCAAACCACTCCAGTATCTTTGCCAAGAAAACCCCAAATAGAGTCACAAAGAGTCTAATGAGACTGAAAAGTGAACAACAACTACCTATATATCAGCTGTAAAATGGGGATAATAATAGCACCTACCTTCCAGGGTTATTGTGAGGACTAAATGAGATAAAGATTATAAAGCATTTAGCACACCTGGCATATGGTAAGCACAATATAAATGTTAGTAAGTATCATCATCATCATCATCATCATCATCATCATCTGTGAGGGACTGTCTGATGTTGCTTACTGCCAAGTGGGGATTGTGGCAAGATGGGGTAGGAACTGGGTATTAGGAAGTAACAGGAGCTCACGCTCCCGAGGCAGGGGCTGTGCTAGGCGGAGTTGTGGTGAACTGGGATGAGAACTGGATATGGAGAAGTAACCGGAGCTCATGCTCCTGAGGCAGTGGGCAGTGCTATGTGGAGCTGTGATAAGCTGGGGAAGGAACAGGATACAAGGAAGTAGCCGGAGCGTGAGCTGCTGAGGCAGGGGGCTGTGCCACGTGGGAGTGGGACCGCAGAGAACGAGTTCCCTTTGTTTAGTCCCCTCCCTAAGTGCAACGTCAACCCCAGACGCCTCCTTCCTGTGTCCTTCCTGACTTCCTGGGTCACGTACTTTCCCTTTGTCTATGCACTGACCCCAGACACCTCCTTCCGGGTATCCGGTCCTAGCCTCCTGCGTCACTTCCTCTCCCCTGGTGCGCTAAACACAGACATCCCCTTCCGGTATCTGATCCTACAATCAATGACTAGTAGGCGGGCTGAGGAGGAGGGGCTAAGTAGGTACTTAAGGGACAGTAGTGGTTGGAGCTCGCTCTCTCTCTTTGCTCCTGCTCTCTTGCTCTGGCCTTCCTGCTTGGCCTTGCTGTGATGGCCTCTGAATAAAGCTTGAGTGTTGGCACCTCCTGATCAGCTTGTCTCTGTGTGTTTATCCGGGTAGGCTCCGAAGACTGGTAAGTAGTATGACCCTGGCAGCCTGCTCCTTATAGGAGGAGAGTGTACGGCACGGCCGGCACAATCATCATCATCATCATCATTATTATTAAAAGGGTTCCTGGTTCTTACGCAGAGAAGTAATTTGGGACCAACACAGGCCTTCAGAAATAACTGAACCTCTTTTAGAATTTGTGAGGCATGATACAGTGGAAAGACAACTGGATTTGGAAATAGGATTTGGGTTTAAATCCTGAGACTGACACTCATTCCACTAGTTGTATAAGCTTGGATAATTTTCTTAACCTCATTGGACCTCAGTTTCCTCATCTGTAAAAATGAGGGGGTTGAACTAACAGCAAGAGCTCTTCCAGCTCTTAAGCTATGATACAATATTTCTATGCTATGACCCACTACAGACTTGATTCAGGAGCCCTGAATTTCCAGGTAACAGATGGGTTTCAATATGTAATCATGGGTTCCAGTCATTTTAGAGGGGTACTTTTCTATAATTTTTTCCAGAACCCAAAGGATTCAGAGTCATTAGGGAAAAGAAACCAGGAGTGGGTTTCTAAGTCTACAAGTCAGCTCAGACCAAAAGAAGATATGTGTAGAAAGATTTCAGGCTTCTTGAGCCCATTCTAATCCCAAAATAGTGTCCTCAATTATCTCCAGAGTTGACCCGAGGTTTATGTTATTAGGCAAAAACATTATGCTCTGAGATATAAAGAATACCTAGCTCCTAAGGAATGTTGCATTGCAATCACAATGTTGGGGGTGTTAGCTACCCATTAGGAGGTGGCATTAAGACATACTCTCTCACCAAGCCATAAATAATGGTACAGGGAAAGTAAGGGTCCACTTTCTCAATAGTATGTACGGTTAATTGCTATTCACAAGAATTGAATCAGCACAATTAAATTAAGAGCGAAAAAGAGAGACTTTACCTCAGACTGAACACATTCAAATTTGACCAGAGATGCAGCAAGTTCACTACGGGCATTTTCTGCAGCTTTACGATAGTGATTTAATTGCTCACGAGTGACAGGGACATCCAAAAGATGATCCTGGAATGTCTCCACCTAAAAAAATGAAACCAAGAAGTGTGCCACACAACATTTTCCTCCCCAGGGAATCAACGCCAAACAAAAATTCAAATGTTCTTTGTACCCCAAATGCATCAAGTCATATGCTGGTCAGATTCTGGCGTTCCCATTTTCTGAAAGCTAAAAGAGATCCTAATGGCTTTTCAAATCAAATGAAAACTGCTAGTTATATGTTTTAGGGCATTGTTTCAACAGATTAATTCTTAGGTCCCTTTCTGCTCTGTGATTCCCTCACCCCCAAATGAAATCCTATTTCACTATTATTCTGCCTCATGTTCTACCTACTAGCCAAGCAAATCAAAACTAGATAAAGCATGTAAAATGCTTTGCAAAAGGGCAAACCTTGAAAGGAAGTATGATAAAACAGACGGTCATCCTTGGAGCCAGGAAGGCATGGATTCAAATCCTGCTTCCATACATATTGGCTGGGTGACCCTGGGCAAAACAATTAGCCTCTTAGCGATCTTTAAGATGAACAGTTGCAGAGAAGATGCCAATCTAAAGTGGTTAGGATAGTTTCCTCACCAAAGAGTCTCCTATACCAGCAGAATGCTAGCTCCCTATACCACACACACAGTGCCTGGCATATTGTGCTTATTAGCACAATAAATGCCTGTTATCTTGACATAAAAGTGAACTACTATTGTTATTATTATTATTAAATCTGTTTACATTTTTATCATCTACCACCACTAAGCCTTCATATGGACCATTCCCCTAACACTACCTTCACTCTTTCTAACCATGTCCCTTATGTCCTTGCTAAAAACTACCCTCCATGAAGGCTTTTCAGAGTAGATCAACCAAAAGCCACATGCTCTTACATTGGCCCACAGAGGAGAAAGGGGACCTAAGAATCGATTCAATGTAACTCATATTTGAACAGGAATCCATCGCTTTTACAATATCCCCACCAAATAGGCATCCTTGGATAAACCACCACCTTCCAAAGCATTCCATTGTGGGAGTTCTAATTGTTAAGCAGTTTTTGTCCTTACATAAAGCCTAAATCTCTGCCTATTGCTACTGGTTCTGCCCACTTGGGTCAAGCAGAACAGTCTAATCTCTCTTTTATGAAACAACCTTTCAAATACCAGAAGTCAATAATGTAGCCCCTAAGTCTTCTCCAAGCTAACTATCCCCATCTGAATCAATTATTGCCCCTAAGCTGTAATCCTCAGGTTGCTCACTATCCTACTTACCCTTTTCTGGAAATTTTCCAGCTTTCTCAATGACTTTCCTAAAACATGGCAGCCCAGTACTTGAGATACAGACTGCCTGCAATGACTAAGATAGAAACACAGTAGGCCTATCATCTCATTCATTCTACCTCTCAATGCAGTCTAAGAGAACATTAATAATTGTTAGCTGCCATGTCTCACTGTTAACTCATATTGAGCTTTTGATCAACTGAAATACTTTGATCTTTTTCACATGAACTATGCTTCTCCCATCTTGTACTTATGAAGTTGATTTTTTTAACCCAAGTGTACAATTTTATACCCCTGCTCAACTGACTTCTCCCCAGCTCAATGGATGAAATTACAGAAAGTAGGGGACAGGTAAAAGGGACAATGAAATGTTCAGGTCTTAAAATGAATTAAGAGAGAGAAAAATAAAATTCCACTCAAAGCAACTACAGAACATATAAAATATCTAGGTGTGCACCTACCAAGAAATGTATAAGAATTATATGAATACAACCACAAAACACTCTCTTGCATGGTCTACTGCCTTCCACTGCCTTCTGGGGAAGTAGAGAAATACCACTCCATCAAGCCAGGTTTCCCACCTGCCTTAGGAGAAAAAAGAGAAACACAATTCCATATGAGGCACATCTCTTAACTTCAAGGAAAGGAGTGAAAAGCCATTAGTTTCATCCTTAATCTCCTTCCCTAAGAGGACTCCAGCCTGAGACCAAATCTCAAGGGATATTGATAACCTATCTGACCTCATTACTCATTAATTAACAAATTCTACCATTATTTAATTATCTCTTCTGATCCAAATCATAATTCCTTGTAGCAAAAGTAACTGCTTCCTCCCGAAAGGTCCAGCTCTCTCACAAGTCAAGTAACAAGCATTTATTAAGCATCAATTATGTATTATTGTTATTATGTTAAGCATAAGGGATGCAAGAAAAGGTAAAAGACAGTCCCTACTCTAAAGGAGCTAACAGGGGAGACATTATGCAAACAACTATGTACAAACAAGATATATACAAGATTAACTGGAGAAAATCAAAGAAGGAAGGTACTTGCATTAAGAGGATCAGGAATGGATTCTTGTAATAGGTCAGATTTTATCTGAGACTTGAAGGAAACCAGAGAAGTTAGGCTATGGAGATGAGGGGGAAGAGAGTTCCAAACATGGTAGACAGCAAGTGAAAATCCCAGGAGTCAGGAAATGGAGCTTCTGGTACTTGACTAATTACTACAAGACAAGGACTACTCCTGCTCTTCCTTTGTAACTCTTTCACCACACTGTTTACATAATAGAATCACAGATCAAAGCAGGGGTTCTTAAATTAGTGTCCCCCCAGATAGATGTAAGAGGGTCTGTGAACCTGAATCAGAAAAAAAAATTACATTAGCGTTTTCTTCAATTATTTAAAAATATTCTGAGAAGGGGTCCATGGACTTCACCAGATTGCCAAAGGGGTCCATGAAAAAGGTTAAGAATTGGATGATACAGAGCTAAAAGGGATCTCAGAAGCCATTTACTCCTATATCCTCACTTTCCAGATAAGGAAACTGAGGCCTAGAGAGCCTATGTGACTTTTCCAAAGTTACACAGGTAAATATTATGTGAAAAGTGGAATTTGAACCCAAGTTACTTTGGCCACAATTGATAATCAAAAAATATTATTATTAATATCACTAAGATTAGGACAGGTTTAACATAAGATGAAATTATAGGATAAAAAAAAAGGTATATATAGAAAAACTACTTCTTTGTAGGATAATGTTACTGTTCACAAACAATAGGGTTCAGTACATTATATTGCCATAAGATTCACATGACAAAATCTTGTAGTAGGGATAGTGCATTGAGAGTCTCCCTCCACCCAATTTAAAATGGTTATAGTAACCTCTGCCTAGACTGAGACAGCTTGGAGTGGGAAAGAAGGGAAGGGATAAGAAGGTGGAAGTCAAAAGAGCTATAGTGTTGTGATAGGAAGGATACTTTAATTTTTATAATGTATATATTATAATGTAAAAACTAGAATAAGGTCATAAACACATCTTTCTAACTACTGAATAAAGTACTTCTACTATCATCAAAGTGACCAGGTGGCTGACTTAGAAGTCAAAGATTGTCTCATGAATAATGAATCACCCAAGGTCTTTTACGAACCTATTTCATAACCTATTCACTCCCATTCTATTGAATTGATCTCAATAAATATTTATTAAGCCCCTACCAAGTACAAAGCACCCTGGATTAGGTCCCCTTAAACTCCTGCTTTTGTCAAGAATCAATCCTCTTCCTAAGCCACCCCCATTAAGTACAGTTTGGTCAGTATAGTTTGGTCTTTTGTGAAACATGCTCCAACAAAAGGCAATTCATTTTCTCTGGATCTGAAGGTAGTCTGTCTAACAAGATATTTAGGGGAAATACCAGTAAAACCAGTAAAAAACCAGCAGTAGAATGGTCATTCAACTGCTGAAACTTCTACCTGGAAGTCATGAAAACAAAAGTCACCTGACAATCCTCAAACTTTCCAGTGGGAGTTGTCGTTGTCACGGCCACTATGTTTCAATATACAAAGCCCCTAAAAGAAATCTTTCAATGAGCTTAGTAACTATTTACGTTTGTCATTCAAAAGACATTCAGAGAGGGTGAGAAGTATGTAATCTTGCATAGAAAATATACAATATTTAACTGACTCTTCAACAACATAACCACAACCTATTTGCCTCACTCAATGGCAAAAAGGGACTTTTTATTCCTACCCTAACCACCATGGCTACATTTTCCAAAACGGGGCCTACATTGGCAGATCTCTTGTCAGTGGTTTGAATAGCAGTCTTTTTTGCTCAACTTTTTCCCCAAAAAAATCATCAGGAAAATCTATTTAAGACCACAAATATTTCCTTAGAGGTTTAACTTCCTAGAGATAAAAAAATAGTAGCCATCTTCCTACTATCTTATATTTCATCATCATTGTCATCAGTTAAAAAAGGGGTATTAATTCAGCATCTATGTTAGCTGGACACTAATTGTATGGTACAAATCAGAAGTAACCCTTTCTTTCTATATGAGTAGAAGCTAAACTCTTTAAGGATGGAGTAGAACATGTTCCTACATAAGTACATACAAAATAAATGTAAGACAGTGGGGCAGGGGTGCTGTCACTACAAACCTGGGGGAAAAGGAATCCTGGCAAATTGGTATTGAGCTGAGCTTTTCAAATAAATCAACAAGTATTTATTAAGCACTTACTAGCACTAAGCATTGTGCTGAGCACTAAGAATACAAGTACAATCAGAAAGAAGGATAGTCATCATCTTCAATGGGCTTACATTTTAACAGGTGAAACATAAGAAATTGAAAAGTCAGATCTTCAGGGTGTGGCAGAAAAGTTGAAAGCCTGAGAGTCAGCAAAAGAGGAATAAAGACGTGATTATGACTGGTCTAGGTGCTCTCTTTAAAACGGAGGTTTGGGAAGAAGCTCGCACTCAAAAGAAAAAGGCCACATGGGGCATGAGAGTTATTTCCAATGTGAGAAGTCTGGAGATAAAATGACCTTTATCTTCCTCCACAGGGAAGACTGTTCCTGGAACAGCGGGCTCTAATGAATGAGCTGATCTTTCCTAGAAGCAGGCCGCCAAGCCACTTCCCAGCTATCTCCACACCACACTTCCTTTACACTCTTCCTTGCTCCTTTTTCCCCACTAGAATGTAAGCTTTTTGAGTGTAGAAACTATCATTTGTTTGTACTTATACCCCCAGGGCTTAGCATAGTACCTGTC